AAGCCCCAGTGAACCAAAGCTTAAAGCCAGTATCCTCCACTTCCTTCGCCTTCTGCCCCTTCCATTTAGTCTCTTGGACGCATAGGATATTAACACGCCTCCTAATAGCTGCATCGACTAGCTCACGTAGCTTACCCGTTAGGGACCCTACGTTCCAACTACCTATCCGGACCCTAGGTGGTTCGACTAGCTTCCTTGCCCTTCGCACCCGTCGAGAGAGATGCGAAGACCCTTGCTCATTTTCCACTACACCCGGGCGCCGATGTAGCGCGCCACTAAGGAAATGACGACCCGGTCCTTGCTCACTTAACACCATGCCCAAACCACGACATGGCGCGTCCCTGAGGGGGAGACGACCCGACCCTTGCCCATTTGACACCATACCCGGATTCCGATATGGCGCGTCGCTAAGAGGGTTACGCCCCAACGAATATCTATTGTGTTTCATCTCCATAGAATGACTAGGTTTTACGTTGGCTCGCCAAGCCTATCACAACCCTCCTCCTTTACCAGGGCTTGGGACCTACTATGTTGAGACAACATGGGCGGAGTTAAATGTTATCTACTCATAAATTTAAAAATAAGTTTGAATGGAGTAAAGATCACCAATGTGTGCATGCCATATAGGCGGTGGACATATTAACATGTGCCCACCGTGAATAGGGGAACATTATTTTTTAATAGAGTGGGGTGCAATTTTCTCATGTTAGTACGCTAGAATTAAAGAGACAACAAAGGGGAAAAAATGACAACACTAAAAGTGTCACACAATAGATCAAAGAGTGGAACTAAAGTAAAACCAAAACCAATTTGTATATTGAATTTTTGAAGATATGTTGATTGCTCGACAAATATAAATTAAATATAAATATTGATTAAGTACGCAATTTTATCTTTTTTTTTTCTTTCTATTTGTTTGTTTTTGGCTTGAACCTAAATAAAATTAGTCAAGGTTTTAAAATATGTCATTTGACGTCAAATCAAATTACACCTATGAAACCAGGTCCGAGCTAGCGTTCTCGAAACTCACGTGAATAACTAACACGCCATCACGTTTTGAGATCGATGAATGCGGTGCATTTGTGTCGCACATTGTTTCCCCGTATCTCACCCTAATCACAAACCCTCACCATCAAGAATAGGCTTTAGCATCAACTATGCCGGGCGAGCTTCATATACTGGACGACCCTCCCACAGGGGTGAAACCGTAGCTTGAACATGATGTTTTCGGGATAGCCAATCCTCGTAATATCGCAGTCTAAAACTTTTGCTACCTTCTTTGTATCGAAAGAAAAAAAAAAAAAA